GAACACGACTCCCTATCCATACCCAAATCAACAAAGTATCTTAATAATTGCCATATACGTGTGAACATCATGTATTCATGCTGAAATCCATGTTCCTTTAATTGGTAAAAGAAAAACAAAGCAAGAGAGACTTCTTTTTTCAAGTTGCTTAGAATCTCAATGACCACATTTGAACTCAACTCTATACAATTATCGTTACTATTACTCTTTTCAATACAAAAAATGTTGTTATCGATACCTGAATCAAAGTCGTCTGAAAACAAATCTGCATTGTAAATTTACTTTTGTTTTTTGTTAAACTTTGCGGATATAAAGCATTTAAATAAATAAATTTAATAAGAGTAATGTCGAAATGTAATGGGGATGAATATAATACTTTTTTAAAAATTAGAAATAGTAATAGGGATAGATATATAAAAGTAGTGTGGATATTTTCAACGAAAAAATTCCAATTTTCTGAGCAAGTTTCTAAATTATTATTGAGAACAACGTCTCTAGTTTTTGAAGCAATATCTGAACATAGTGTTGCAAATTCTTTGCCAGCCTATTGTTTCAGTGTTAAATGTTCATGTCATCATATTTCAAGAAGTCGTCATCTTCTTCTACCTCTGGCTTTGTGTAGGGTTATCATCCTGAGCGTGTCCTCACCATAGTTTATCAACCATTTGCGCTTGGAACAATGGTAATACTGGCATACAACGAGTCAAAGATTGATACAAGGAAACGGAACTTGATGGGTTATATTATTTTCTTTCTGGGCACTTTGGGACTTCTTGTTGAAAGTTCAGCACCACTAAACAATTTCACACCACATTTTCCATTTACTTTTCCTATTGATAATAAGCTTTCTGCAGTTGGACATAGGCACATCAGGAAAAGGGGGAATCTGAAATTACATTGGCATTTGTGTTTTTGTTGGTGCTTTTGGAGTAGCAGATGCCCATGTTCAAGGTGGAATGGTCGGAGATCTATCCTTCATGCATCCTGAATTTGTCCAAGCAAGTTTCTTGACTATATAATTTTATCGGTGTGTAGTTCACTTACTTCAAATTTAGGTTATTTAATCAGATCACTAGATTTATCATCACCATTACTTGAGCTTGCAGTCATTCTTTGCTGGTTTGGCTGCATCTGGAGCTCTCACTTCTGGCTTGAGTACAATGACAAAAGCAGCTTTCGACAAGTCCAGAAACGGCCTTCGTAAAGGAGTTAGAAAGTAATTCTTCTCATACTACACAATAATCTTTCTAGATTTACCAATGTGAAAATTATGTAATTGAGTTCAAGAAATCAAGTATCATAGTGGTATACAAATTTATCTACAAAAGCATTTATTTCAGATGATAATTGTATTTCTTTATAATGCTTTTGCAGTGCTATTTCTCGCCATCTCGACATTCTTTGAGTTTCTATATATTTTCTTATATGCATTTGTCTTCGCCAAGCTACCAATTGTGAAGTTCTACCGCACAAAAGCAGCTTCAGAAGGATCAAAAACGGTTTCTGCTGACCTAGCTGCTGCTGGCATCCATTACGAAGAAACTGCAAGTGTAAGAAAATTTTCTTTAATAAGAAAAGTTCATTTCTCTAAGCATCGTTTGTTTCAGACTTTAAGATCAACTTTCATTATCAATACAGGGCAACATTGCTAAACACGAGCGGCTGAACAACAAACAGCTTTTATTATAGAATCTTGATTATGCATTGAACCTCTACCTTATATATGTTCTCACTTTGTTTATTTTTCCTGGGTTCGTATTTGAAAACACTGGATCCCACCAGTTGGGTTCTTGGCAAGTGCTCTTGTCGTAAAATGCATGGATACTTACTCACGAGAACTCGATTCTTTTAATTTCTTATAGATATTTTGATATTCTAATGGTAATTCTATGCATGTGAAGGTATCAAGTTGCCCTGATAGCAATGTACAACGTGTTGGTTCTCATCGGACGATACACTCCTCTTGTAGAAAGTATCAAATTAGAATCCCGAAAAGGTCTATTGATAGCATCACTATTGCGTTTCCTACTTATTCCCGCATTCTACTTCACCTCAAAGTACGGTGATCAGGGATATATAATACTGCTCGTATCCTTCTTGGGACTAACAAATGGCCACCTCATTGTTGACGTCCTCACAGCAGCTCCTAAAGGTTATAAGGTAAGTTTTAAATTACAATTAATTAATCACATTCTTACATTCATGGCCATAATACGTTTGGGGTCTCGTATTTGTAGGCACCGGAGCAAAATGCATTGGGTAATCTGCTAGTGCTATTTCTTCTTTTTGGCATTTTTTCAGGTGTTGCTCTAGATTGGTTGTGGATTATTGGCAATGGGAAGTTCTAAGGGGGCAGCATGTTCACTGGATAAAGGATTACGAAGCAATCCTTGTTAAATTATTTGGCTGGCAAATAAAACTTTTAATACAGCAGAATCATATTTCTTAAATGTATGTATTTATTAGTTTTCGATTTGGAGATCACTTTGCCTCGATTCTTTTCACTAAATTCCGACAGACAAAAAACAGAGAGGGCGTTGTCTTGACTAAGTTAACCAGTAGAAAACACAAGCACCATAGTGTCGAAAGATGACAACAGAGAATATGACATCCACTAATAATAAACTTTGTCGCAAACGAAGAAATCAAAGAATTACTGGGGTGTTTTTATTTATTACACCGGCTTCATGGATTGTGAGCCATCACTAGAGTAGTTTAAGACTGTCCTCACAAAATTGTGACAAGGCACATATCCAGAACTAGTTGAAAACACATTGTGTCAAGACAATAATATTTGTGTGGGCTGATGTACAGTTAATGTGTATTCTACATTGAAAAAATTGTTAGAATGTACTTGCAGAGCAGTCTTAAGGCCCTTCTTCACGGGGCCATGAGTCCTTCGATCGTGTAAGAAAGTGACTTTGCCCAGTCTGCTTTTAGGAGCAACGTCTGTAGTGTATGCATCACATCGTAACCTGGATCAAGCTTCCGCTGCCAACCCTATAGATAAAAGCAATGAAAAAATAAAAAATCACAAGGATTGAATTGATCAGTACTAAAAGAAAATGATTTGCAACGAATCCCCCATATGATACAAGAACATCTTATTACAACTCCATATGCTAGATAAAATTTCAACTCACAACCCCAGAATGAAAGGGGAAAAGACAAGGAAGATGCAAATAAAAATACTGACATGTCCAATTAAGCTTAAAAATGTTACTTAAAAGTAATCAATTCGAAAATAAGTAACTTTTCCTATTGATTAAGTTATCCAAACGTTTTAGAATAAAAAAGAATTTTTTCAAGCTTAGCCAACTTTCTCTGAGTGGCAAAAGCTTTGCTGCATTCAAGAACTAAGCTCATAATATGTTCGAAAGAATCCAGCATAGATATACATTTAAATTTTTTTAATTCATGGACTTCTCCATATTCACGCGTATAATAGAATTAATGAAAACGTAGAGAGGTACCTCAAGAACCAAAACTGTCACCATCACCGTGCAAACATTGCCATCAATGTTCACTTTATGACGCCTAACTTGTTCCAGTAATTGCTGCATGCAGTCAGCAGGATGGACAAAATCCCCCTCTGGAGTACCCCAAAAATCAAATGATACTTTCACTTCCTGTTAAAGCGAAGGAATCAAAATGCTAAACACAATCACAAATCCAAGCTTTAAATTTGAAGTTTTGAATTTATGCAGCAATATTCCTCCATAAGAAGAGAACAGCTTAATCCTTGCCGGAGTTTGCAAGGTAAATCGCATTTTTTTAGTTATTTTTTCATTTAAAACAATTACACTGCCACAAAATCCAGCTATAGGGCCATGAAAACTGGTTCTGAATTGCAAGGATGGCAGAGACTCAAAGAATCACATAGAAGTGTCTGATACCATTATGTACTTAAAATTCACCTGAATAAAGGCCTCTGGCTCAGGGCAGTTCTGTTTCTTTGATAATCTTAGTGTGCACTCTGCTGCTGTTTTGCCATCTCTATGGGCAACAGCCTTAAAGAACTCGAGTAAATTTATCCGGTCACTCTTAGAGAGTTCAGCAGTCATGCCCACATCAAGGAAAATAACATGAGGCTTGGTTTTGAAAATCCGTTTACGAGACGGTTTGTTTTGAGCTATTCGGACAAGGATGTTTCCAGGATGCAAGTCAGCGTGAACAAAGTTGTCTACCTGACACGAAAAAAGAACTATATCAGAAAATGGAACTATCCATTTATTTTTTCAGGGGATGTTTAATGCACATTATGGAGAAGAAAATGCATTTTATGATGTGATGTGATGGAAAATATATGGTTAAAAAATAAGGAAAATTTTTGGATTTGCGTGTAATATTATTTTATTGAGAATGTGGTTGAAAATAAGATTTGAAAGAATGAATTTTTGTGAGAATGTGTATCAAACAGGGGCTCACTTTCACTGGTGTACCATTACCTTGGTGCATTTAATTTTATCTTTTAAATTAATAGTGGGAATATGAGACCTGGATGATCTGCAATCTCCTCATGTATTATTAATGCAGCAATTTATCTCCAGAAACTGAGATATCATTTTCGTTTCACAACAACATGCATAAAGAAACTATTTTTATTTCTAGATCACTAAATCTAACCTCTCAAATATGAAAAAACAGACCAAAAAATTACTCAACCCTGACCTCCAACATAGCAAGAATAATGTTCAACCATCAATAAATAATCCACAATGTCATTGAGAATTTTGCCAACTACTTTATTTTATACTAAAATTAAGTTTCAAGTTGAAGAATTCATCTCTTTTTGGTGCTCCTACTATAAGTCCAGGACACAATACATGAGAGAGAGAGAGAGAGAGAGACTACAAACACTGTACAGCAATAAGGATGTGTTTGAGCCACATTATTTTGGAAGAATGTATTTTGGAATAGTAGATCAATGGAGAATGTGTAGTTGAATAAGAAGGAAAAGCTATTGATGTAATGGAAAATATTATTTTATTGAAGAATGAGTGGTTGAAAATGAGTAGAAAAATGAGAATGAAAATTTTACTGTGGATCAAACATGGGCTAAATATGATCCATTCATTATTCCACAGTAAACATAACACACATAAATGTTGCAAACAATACCAGCTGCTTTATAAATCGAGCAAACACTTAGATAGAATTGAGTTTCAAGTCTTAAAACTCAGGTCTTCCCTATCAGTATTACTACTACAGCATAAGGGCATATCACCTGATAACATATTTAGCCTTGTTATGCAGACATTTAGCCTAACATGTTATAGTGATCTTATTTTGCATTAGTTGCTGATAGATATCACTTATCAGTACTTCCCATCAGGAAAATTTCTGTTACTTGACAATGCCAAACATGAAATGTTATGACATCGTAGGCTGAAATGAGACATTTGTGGTAAGATGAAATGGAGAGATACACAATTTTTAGCTTAATTGTTGAATGCACAAGCAACACCTCACAAAATGGAGCCAACAACGTGCCCACCCAGAACACATAAAATAATCAATCAAGCTGAATTAACAGCATTCATCCCATGCAGAAAAGGGCTGAAGTTTCAGCAAAAGCATAGCCGCCGTAGCACACCAAAAGAAGAGAGTTATGCATTGTACAAATTACCAACTTATAAAGCATAAGATAGATCAAATACAAGAAGAAAAAAGATCATATACGGTACCAGTAGCATCTTCAGCAATGCATGGGTCCCAATGTGGGCGAGAGCACTTTTGATTCGTCCATTCCCCTCAAGATCATCAACATAGCGGGAAACACTTTCCCCATCCTCAAATGTTTCAACCAAAACAGCAGGATGGACCAGTGGATATACAGGCTTCGGGAAAGAAACGTCTTTCCATCTGCGAAAATTGTATATGAAGCGGCTCAAGTGGGCAGCTTCTCGTGCAAGATCAACTTGAGACATCATGAAAACTGCAAACTGCTGGACACTTTCATCCAATCTCAACCAATTCAGAGCAGGAATGTATCTAGATATTTTCGCCATTATATTAATTATCTCAAAATCCCTTTTTATTGACTCTCCAACTCCTGGGTGTCTCACCTTCACTGCAACTAGCATTGGTTTCATCTCACGACCATGGTATCGAGACCGCAAAGAAGCTCGATGCACTTGAGCTATACTTCCAGATGCCACAGGTTCTTCCTCAAAGTTGTCAAAAATTTCAGAAATCTTACGACGGAAAGCTCTTTCAATTGTCTTTTTCGTGTAGGCAAAGCTATGTTCAGGTGCTTTTGTGTGAAGCTTTGAAAGTTCAGTGCACATGTCTCTAGGAAAGAGATCTGGCCGTGTGGCTGCCCACTGGCCCCATTTTATGAACGCTGGACCTGCCCTTTCTAGTGTTTGATGAACAACCTGAAGCCATAATTTCCTGAACCGAGGTCCAAAACTATCTGCAAATGGAGCCATCACAATGCTTGGTGTGAATAGAAACGACAAGTACAAAGCTCTCAGCAACAAGAAAATGCCTTCGCATATTGATAGGATCAATGAGGTCAAGAAAAGATGCCCATCCTGTGCATGAGTGTACAAAGTATTCCTTGGCGGAAAGATATCTGTGTCTGGCACAGATTGTGCCCATGCTAAATGGCTTCCACATGTTACTGCAAATATACCAGGAACAAGCAAATAAGAATGGCTCAACGACAAGCTAACTGCCTGAGCAATCTTGTTGATGGGATGACAAGATCGGCCATGATGTAAAGACCTCCGTGCCAACCTCTTCCAAGCAACTTGAGCACGATGGGCTATAGTATTACTTGCTGGGATAGCTGAATAACTCCTGATGAAACTATTGCAGAGACCATTTCTTGTTTCATGTGTAGCATTCCAAGTATGTCTCCTACCAGGGAACATAGATTGCAAGTATAATCTGTAATGAGGAGAACATAACCCAGGTCTGACAAGGGCTCCATATTTTGACCCTTCTGAATACTTGCGACACTGGTTTACGCGCAAAGATTGTGAAACTCTCTTAATATTCCCAAATGTCAAGAATCTGCGACCCCATAAGCAGGCCAATAATAAACACCTAAGAAATTTTATTTTCAAAATATTTGAAAGCAAAACATACATGGTTCTAACCTCATTTCCATTTAATAGTATTAATGTACATTAAATACTATTTAAAAATGAAAATCATTAGCAGTTGCATTTAGTTATTGGACAAAGTTCAAGCTATCGACAAACGTACAAATTCACTATCTTAACATAACCATATTGCCACTTATGCTTTCCATATAATAAATCTATATTGAAATCTTCTCCATGTTAGTTCCAAAAAACCATGCAAGCAGCAACAAAAGCTGTTTCCTTCAAAACTC